AAAAAAAAAAAGAAAAAAAAAAGCACCCAAACCAAAAATTAACCAACCAAACAACCCCCAACAGCCAAGCATACATCTCTATTTTTTTATTTTGGTCTTTTCGTTGGATTTTCCCTTCTTTTTTTTTTCTCTCCTTTTTTTTTTCGGGTTATCGCTCAGTTTTGAGCGAAGGTTTACATTTTTTAAAAATTTGCTTTCCAGCCCGCCTTGATCTTCTAGCACGAGTTCATCGTCTCAAAAAAAAAAAAAAAAAATCTCTGGCTGGCGTTTTTCTTTCCTTTTTTTTTTTTTTTTTCAATATTTTCAAGGGGGAGGAGATTTTCCACAAGAAAAGGTTGTTTTCATGTTTGGGATTCAGGAAAGCATCCAACGGAGTGGAAGCAGCATGAAGGAAGAGCCGCTGGGCAGCGGCATGAACGCGGTGCGGACGTGGATGCAGGGCGCCGGGGTGCTGGACGCCAACACGGCGGCGCAGAGGTGGGTACCGCTGGGGGACCGCGGCCGGGGAGGCGAGCCGCAAGCAGAAGAGCCGGGAAGCGGTGGCGGCGGCCGCTGCGGGGCCGGGCCGCGCTCGAGAGTCCGCCGCTCCGCTCGGCTCGCCTCCGGGGCTCCGCGCTCCCCGGCCGCGCTGCCTTGGTCGCCTGCGGCCGGAGAGAGCCGGGAGCTGCTTGCGAAGAGCCCACGCTTTGCCGGCACTTTCCCCTGCTTCGCCTGTGACTGTTTTCATTTCGTTTTAAGCCAGAAGAGGCGTCTCACCAGCACGATGTTGGATATCTGTGTTTTTATGTGATTGCTCTTTCTTTCCCGGCTGGCTGCCTTCTCTTTCTTTTTCTTACTTTCCTTCCTTCCTTTTCTTTTCTTTTTTCTTTCTTTTCTTTCTCTCTTCTCTTTCCTTCCTTCCTTTCCTTCCCTTTTTCTTTTTTTCTTCCCTCCTTTCTAAACTTTTTTCCTTCTCTTCTTTCTTTTCCTCCCTTCCTCTTCTTTCTTTCCTTCCTCCTCCTTCCTTCTCCCTTCCTTCCTTTTTTCCTTTCTTCCTCCTTCTTTACTTCCTTTCCTTTTCTCTTTTCCTTTCCTTCCTTCCCTCTCTTCCCTCTTTCCGTCCTCCCTTTCTTCATTCTTTCCTTCCCCTTCTTTCTTCACTCCTCCCTCCTCTCTTCTCCTTCCCTTACCTCCTTTTTCTCGTCTTTTCTCTCTCCATATCTCCCCAGAACCTTCTCTTAATTCTCTAGTCTGGTTCTCCATCCCCCTCTCTCTAGCTTTCAGTTTTTCTCAGTCCACCGGTAGAACAGCAACTCCCAACTTTAATTCTGACATCTCCTAAAAGTCTTCCCCAACCTCTGTCACCATGGTCCCTTAGAGCCCCTCTCCCACTCAGTTCCTGAGATGCTAGACTGTGTGGCCTGGAGGCACTGCCCTTGGAGATTGACGTGCGGGAACTTTTCTGGGCACTCTTATCACACTTTCCGGGGACTCCTGGTCCCAAGTGAGAAATGGTCTTTTTTTTTTTTCCAGACCACCAGCTGGGCTTGGGGGAGTAGGAGATCTGACGGCCCCTAGCCCTATCGGACTCCGAGAGGGCGGAAGGGGAAAAAGGAAGATGACTAATTACCTCATCCTCATCTTCTCCGGGCAGGGGACAAGTGCCTGCAACACTGTTCCCATCCCCGCTGAGTACAAGGATGGGGGTGGTTAGTAGTGAGAGTGAGTTGGGTAACTGGGTTGGAAGCGAAAGAGTGTGTGTATGTGTGCGTGTGCGTGTGTGTGAGCGCGCCCTTGTGTTGGGCAGGTCGGGTTGTTAGTGACCTCCCGGAGCCCCTGGCACCCGAGCCTCCAGTTCTCCCGCGGGCGCGCTCAGTAGGCTCCCCTGGTCCATAGGATTTCTGGAATGAGTGTGAGGATTTCTGTGGAGCAGCGAAACTTTGTCAGGACAGGTCTTTTAAAAACACCCCCAGTTCCCTGTTCCACAGCGACCACCCCTGACAGCTCTGAGTCCCCCACCCTCAGATCCTTTTTCTCACTTGCTTTATTTGGGGAGGGGGCATGCGGTTTCCCGAGACCGAGCGTCCGCGCTTGGCGGGGGCACTTGAGGTTTCCTGGAGGATGGCTTCGGCTTCAAGAAGCTGAGCCTGTTCCCCATCCATCCTCACCTGCCCTCGAAGCTGAGGCGGGAGATTCGTGGGGGTGGCGGGGACCAGTTCCCATGCTCCCCTCCCTCCAAGTTGTAAACGACCAGCTGTATTCCGCGAACGCGGGTTCACCGCATCCACCTCCACTTTTCTTCCTTCCCACGCAGCGCGTGTCAGGTCGGAGTAAATGCTTGCGGGGTTTTATCTCCTGCGCAAAACCCAAACAAAACTTCCCGGGCTCTTCCGCGAGTTCGGGGGGCGCGCCCTGTGCTCGGCGGATTGGACACGCGAGAGCACGCATGTCCCGCCGCCGGGTGGGCCCGGGGCGCCGGAGGGGGCGTGTAGGGCGCCCACTGGGTGTCCTGGGGGTAGAGGAGGTTGATGTTTGAGGGTTCTCGCGTGTGTAAGGGGTGACAAAGGGTCGCGCGTCGGTGTCTGGCTTAGCCGTCTAACTCTGCGTCTTTGGCCACAGCGGGGTGGGTCTGGCCCGGGCTCACTTTGAGAAGCAGCCGCCTTCCAATCTGCGGAAATCCAACTTCTTCCACTTCGTCCTGGCCCTCTACGACAGACAGGGCCAGCCCGTGGAGATCGAGAGGACAGCCTTTGTGGGGTTCGTGGAGAAGGAAAAAGTAAGTGGGCGCAGCGCCGCTGCCCCTCGCCCCCGACCGGGGAGCAGGCCCAGCCGCTTCGCGAGGCGCGCTCCTCGGCGAGGGCAAAGCATCCATAACACACTCCTGAGCGGGGTCCCCCAAGCCACTTCCCGTCCTGGGCGAACCCGGGCTCCTCATCCTGAGGTTCTGCTCCAAAAAAGTTCGCGTGGAGCCGCAGAGCTGGAGAGAGGCGAGCCCGGCTTCGCACTCCAGAGTCAAGGGCGCCTGGGATGAACCCGCCCTCAACCGCGCCACCACGCGCGGCTCCTGCCTCTGCTGGCCCAGGCCCGAGCCCCTAGGCCCCACGGAATTTTCTGGAAGGGAAGAGGGAGCAGTAAGGGTCGGGAGGGCGGCAGAGGGATCACAGTTGGCCTCAATTTCTGCTGCTCCCGGGCCTGTCCGGTTTCCGGACGGGGGTCCCGTCTTCGGGAAAGTTGCCTCGAAGTCGGTCCACTCGCTCACGCCGACCTCTTTCCTGCGTCTCTTATGTCTTTGCGTCCTGCTGCAACCCAGGAAGCCAACAGCGAAAAGACCAATAACGGGATTCACTACCGGCTCCAGCTCCTCTACAGCAATGGTGAGGCTCCGATCGGGTCCGCGCCGGCACCCCGGGGCCCTGGGTGAGGCAGGGTGCGTGGGAAGATACAGGTGGACCAGAGTCCTGAGCACGCAGAGTGGTCCACCGTCCTCGGGGTAACCCGGCCTCTCCTAAGTTTCGCCTGAGGAGGTTTCACCTGAGGAGGCCCCGAGTAGCCGGAAGGCGGCCGTAGCGGGCTGGAGCACACCTGGGACCAGGTGTGGAGCCCCGGCCCTCGCAGGGCCACTTTCTTTCTTCCTCCCATTCCGAAGGCCTGTTTTCGTGGCTCAGCCCCGACTCCAGGCCCTAAGTCTTTCGGGCTCAGGGTGCTAGAGCGGTCGTGGCCTTGCTGGGTCCCAGAGAGCGCGCTGAGGGGTTCCCTCCGAGAAAAGGGAGAGAAGCCAGGTGGGGGTCCTGCCACATTCTCAGCTGCCGTGCTTGGGGACTGGCCCCTCTCTGGACACTGGAGAGAGTGCGGGTGGTGGTGTCCTGTCTGTGCTTCTCCGGGACAGTAGGCATTGCATACGCCTTGGAGCCCCATTCTTTGTTTGTTTGTTTATTTGTTTTGCGGCAGATCCTCTCTCACTTACTTTTCCTTCGTTCCCCTATCCGCCTCCTCTCCCCTCCAGGGATAAGGACGGAGCAAGATTTCTACGTGCGCCTCATTGACTCCATGACAAAACAAGTAAGTTTCTTAATTTCGCGCCGCGGGGTGACTCTAGGGCCTCGAAATTTGAGGGAGTCAAGAAGTTGGCTACTCCTTAGCGCGGGGTCTGGGACTCAAACTCTCAACACCAGGGCAGATCTAAGACCTCTCAGCGCAGCCTTCCAAGCGCGGAGACACACACTAGCGCCCACCGCGTGCGGGAGATGGCTCGAAGGCTCTTTTCTACCAAGGGAGACGCAGGCCTAGTGCATTAAGACTCCAGGGTGCTGAGTGGGGAGAGTAAGTGCTGAACTTCCTTTGACCCGGCCGAGGAGCCCCAGGGGGCGCAAAAGGTGCCCAGGGACCGTGGCGTAGAGTGGGCTGAACTTGTGAAACCCGAACCCTCCGGGCCACTCCTGGGAGGTAGAGGGTAGGGAAGGGTGTGTGTGTGTTGGCCTGGGGGTGGGGGGGGTGGCTAGGTATCTTACTCAGGAATGGAGAGATGAGCTGAGAGCGCAGATGACCCACTCCACAGATTTTTTAAAAAGGAGGTGGTGGTGGTAGTATTAAGAGGGAGCGACAATTGTTAGAGGATATTTTGCAAAAATCCTCCTGCTTTTGCCTCCAAGTTTGGCAAGAAGCCAGGCAGCATGAGTGAGCTTGTGGTCTTAAAGGTACATGGACGGCATTTTCTACAGCTCCCCAACACGCGGGTGTCAAGCAGCGTACATTAAGGTTGAGTTATGGTTTAAAAGATACAATTATGAGCCGAGTCAGAAAAGAGGCCTGACGTTTTAATGAGGCACAGGAGTCTTTTATTTTTTTTTAATTTTAAGAAAAAGTTTAGTTTCAGAATTAAGTAGCTGGTTAGGTAGTTGGAACACTTAGTAACAAAAAAGAAGCCAGCTTTATTGGGTGGGGGAAAGAAATTAGAACAAAGAGCAAAGTTATGCATTGTGTACTAACCACCAATTTAGTAAGAGGAATAAAACTTATTTGCTTGATTGCAATTTTAAGATAGTTCCTTCAAAATAAGGAGGGTGATCGTCTTTCATAGATACTGACTTGGAAATTTTCAAATTAGGGTATACATGCATATTTAAAAAGTATTTTTAGATAAGCGTGGCTTAAATATGTTCTACAAAATGCACATTCATAAGTTGTTAGAAGTTTTAAAATCTATTCAGTAAGAACCTTTCAATAATAGCTAATTTTGATTGTTAGTCTCATATTTCATTGTGAACCAAGTAGAAAACCTGAGGGTATGAAATGTAGTTTTAAAAATAATAAATAAATACCTACTGAAGACTATTTCAAGTTAAATGCTTAAAATATTTGACTTTCTTGAAGATTTATTTCTTGGTTGATTGGTCAGAGTGAATTCACATTTATACTTTCAGTCTTGGTCTTATTTTCTTTATTACTCATTTTGATTATTGCATAGGATAATTCCCTTTCATTTGGACACATTGTATTTTGTTAAAATTTTTTTTCCCCTGCCATGCAGAAACACAAAAGCCTGATTTCAGTACCATTTTTTTTTTATTATATCAAAACAAAAATGTCTTAAGTGGAGTTTTATTTTAAAAAATTGTCTTTGATACCCTAGATATCTTTTCCTGCCATTCTCATCAGAGGAAAGAAAAGAGGGAAGGGGGAGGGCGAAAGTATGAACTATAATACATATTCCGTATGTATTTATTAGAAATTGCTTTTTAAAAGATAAAAATCCCCACAAACCAGCCTGTAAGGCCTGTATACTTGTGCAACATTGGCCACTTAAATATTAAATTATAGGCAGCACTATGAAACAAACAATTGTGACGAGTGCAAAATTAGGACATGTCTGAAGTGATTAACTGCTTCCAAAACTTTTAGACCCCTTCAACAAAAAGTACCACCAAGAACTGATTTTCCCATTATGAAATGAATTGACTTTACACAGTCTCATATGGTGGAGGAATAATTTTGATTTTTATAAAGCAATACATTCAAATATCATTTATTAACAAGGTCATAGAGCTTAAGAACAACTACAGCTTATGGCATTCTTTGACTGCATGGTATTATAAATTCTGTCAGTTGGGGGTGGGGGACTAGAACAAGATACAGTTTATTTTTAATAATAACAGGTATGAGAAAGTCATTTGCCATGATGTGACATCTTACTGAAAGTTAAAATTATAAATGTATGCAATTATATGTTTTGGTGGGGAGTGACATAAAAAAAGATTTAAATAACTATCTGAATTTATTCCAAAAATATCAAGAGAAAGGGATTTTTTTTTTTAAGGCCTACCTGTTTGTTTTCATAATAATTGTCTATTGCCTTCTGTGTAGGTTTCACTTTGAAATGCAATTCCTGCCCATTATCTGTTTGTTTGTTTGTTGATTATGTGCTGTAAGAGTTTGGGAAGAGGTTAGCTTCTTGTAGACACAGTGAATACAATAGTCTTCAGAAAGCAGATCAGTGTGAAGAAGCATAACTTTTCCTGGCTGTGACATAATTATTATACTTTCGTCTTAATGAGTAAAACAATGGATTCTCATCTAACTTGAAATTATTCTATGATAATTAACTACCAAGTCTGATTTAAAATTTCTTAAATTTTTTATTTTTGTTAAATATGCAGTGACCCCTTCAATCAGAAGTAAGACTTGACATAAGCTGACTGATTAAATGTTACAATTTTTTTCCCCCTGTAAAATTCTTTCAGATAGACTCAGGATTTTGATATTTAGAGTACAGAATGGGATAATTCCAGTGATGTGACCCATTCTAATCACATCCTAAATTTTGGATGGAATACCTAGTCACAGTTCAAGTGTCTTCTCTTAGCTGCTTGTTTGTAACATTTTTCATATCAGAGAAGCAGCTTTATGGGTGTGATGTCTTATCTTTGACTCAGAAGTTGGGGTTAAAACTCAAAGGGAATCATTTTTATAATTCAAAGAGTACCAAATCCAAAACTACCTGTGCACTCTACATTTTCATAGAATGTTCCTAACTTGGGTGGAGTTAGCAGCATTGAAATCAAACAGAAATGTACTCAATCAACCAAGATGTATTGATATGACACAGTATTTCACACCTTTTCAGAGTGTCTCATTACACTATTTTGGGTAATGACTCTTAATTTTGGACTCAACCAAGAAAGAGAAGTTTTATTACAAGTCAATGTGTAAGGATCTGAGCCCCCTTATCCCTATGCCTCTCTCATAAAACACAAAGGATATGATGATATTTAAAAAATTCATCCACCAACTAGAAAATGAGAGGCTTGCTTTTGGGAAGGGTTGTTCAAAACCAAGTTTAGCTGGACTAAAAATAGGTTGTTTTTGTGTCATTGCTGTTTTTGGTATTCCATTAGTGAGCATGCAGAAAGGCCTGTAGGATCCAGAAGGTTATGGCTGTTGCATTCAGAAACAACATCTACAGCCGAAGCTCAAATGAACCCAGTGGGGGAGGTCTGATGTTTAATGTGCCTCATCTCAGACTTTCACGTAGTATTTGAAATATGATTATGTTATGTGATTGCTTTGGTGAATTAACATTAAGTAGTTTAAAAAAAAAAGCCTTTAACTTATCTTCCCTCCTACCATCTTGCTTTAAAAAAAGTGACATTTTTATAATTCAAAGAGTACCAAATTCCATAAAGTTATCAAAAACAAAATACTCCTGCCCACAGACAGAAGGTCTTTTTTGGAAAGGGAAAAATAACAGTCACATAATCCTTGTCATGTATGGGTTTGAAGGTAGGTGATGTGGTAAGGACACCCTAAAAAGGTCTTAGCATAGTGGGTGGGAAGTCCAAAGTACAATGATCAGAAATGCTGTCCTCTTTCTCTTACAAGCTAATCTTCTTTATATATTTGTTTTGATGTTCCCGATACTTTAAGTTATTGATGCAAGCGCATTTCTTCCTATTGATTGTTTCATTATATCCTGCCACAGCCACGTAGATTTGATTAACAACCCTTTCAGTTCATGGTTCTTCATTGGTAGATAAACACATTTTTAGTATATCAGTAAGTTCCAAAGGAATTCACTAGGGCCAGCAGAGAGGTTCTTTCATACATTTGGAGAAACAAACAAACAAAAAAAGCAAGTTTATAGTCAGGAGCCACATTTCAGCAGCTTTCTCTCTCCTTTGGTAACATGTCAAAAATGCAGGTGATTTAAATTTCCTTGCACATAGAGGAATGAAGAAGTTTGGAATTTTTATGCATGATCAGGACCCGTGTTTGGGAAAATGTAAACTCATCACAGTGGAAAATGTGTTGTTTGGAGTCTGGGGGTGAAAACAAAGCTGATGGTTTTGGAGAGATTGCCGGAGCCAGATGGCCTAGTACTTCCCCAGTCTGGCGGTCCAACTGCTCCCTCCTGGATAATATACAGCCATTTGTTCAGGGATATTTACGCTAGAGCTGTTTCCATGTGAATGTTTGAACAGCATTAAAAACGAACATATTAGTAGTGATGCATTTATCGAACGCATATGACTACACCAATAGTCTGTTCTTCTGTCTTGACTTATATTGCTGAGAGGAATGAAGGAGTGTTTGGATGTTGGTGAATTGTTTATATAGTTGTTGAGCAAAAATGATTTGGTTTCAGTGAGTAATTAAAGCATGTAAGCATTTGGAATCAAACTAATAGAAATAAATGATAGCACCTACCTTGAAGCTCTTTTGTGACAATTAAATGAATTCATACATGTAAGATGCTTAGAATAGTGACTGGCACATATTAAGTGCTTAATAAATTAGCTGCTTTTATTATTTTATTATTATTATTATTATCCCATCGGGTTCACAAAGCCAGCTGTATCTACTAATATAGATGTAAATGTTATCGTATGAGTGAAATATCTCTTACTACTGTTAGAAAAAGAAATATAATGTGGGATTGTTAGAGTGATTCAGTTTTTATCTTAGTGCTTGAATAATATAAGGGAATTTATTTCTTTGAGACATTAAAAATGTAGTCTAAAGCTAACTGCTTTCGATCCACATTCTCTTTTTATTCAGGACTGTGA